AGCCCACCAGGTGTGGACTGCTCAGGCTGCCCTTCCTTGACCCTGCTCTCTGGCCAGCTTCTGCCAATCCAAAAGAGCAACCTCACTGCAGGAGATGTCCCTCTTAGGGTTGCCACACCAGGAACAGGCCTCAGGAAACCTGAGAAGTGCTTCAAGAATGACACCCATTGTCGGCTCCTAGAGACTTGGTTGCCCAAGAAAAAAAAATGTATATAAATAGAAATTCTCATAGCAATGGGAATAATACGAACAATCAATGAGGCAAATTGAATTAGCTGTAAATCACTTTTCTTAACTTTGAATTAGAGTTCATTAATCTTAACCTCTCTGACTTGACAAAATAAGATCAGAGAGAAAGGTTATTTTCAACATTGAGGGTTAGCCAAAGTAAATCAGCAATAATAATAACACAAATAGTAATAAAGTAAGAAGAGTAATATAATGAAAACTGTTTCATTGAGCACCTATATATCAGAGGCTTGATGCTAACTAAATACCTTATTTATATTGCTTTGCAAAATTTCTAAGATGAATTGCATGTTAGATACTATTATCCTCATTTCAGATGAAAGAATACTTAAGTAACTTGGCTGATTATGAAACTATTAGTAGTAAGTGATTGGGCTGTGGTTGGAGCCTATAGTACAAAGGCTTCAATTTGCAACTCTAATGTACTGACAGTGGCTTGGAGTGGTCTAGAACTTCAATGCATTGTCCAGGGATGGCCAGAAAGAGTGCTGAGATTGATTAGCAAGATCTGCTGTGAGCCTAAGAAGGGCCTGGGGGTAGCAGAACAGAGCAGCATATTTCCCTGCTGCATCACACTGCCTCTGAAGCTAATGTAACTTAGGGAGGAAGGAAAGTCTCCTCACCTTACAGTGTATTTTGGTAAAGTGTCACAGTGTGACACTGTTGTGATGAAAACCACTTGGTTTCAAAGTGTCCAGAGGCTGAAATGTGCTGGGGCAGAGCTAATGGCTCCCCACAAATAACAATTATCGCATTGGCCGGGCAGCCCCCACAGTGCTCCCCAGCAGTAGCACTGTCATATCTCAACAATGCGCCTTTGCCCACAGACACATGGGCCCAATGGCTGGTACTGATGGTTTCCCTGAAAAGTGCCACTGTCCTCTGTTCTGAGTCAGCCTTATTGTTCAGAGCTTAGAGAATGAGGCACATGTCCAGATATGGGACAATAATATGTGCTATACACTTGCTGTCAGCAATATTGTAGGTCACCATGACATCAAAACCTTCAATTCTACAGTGCTCTGAAATGACCTCCCCATACCCTAACCCTCAAACTTGTGAATACCTATTTGCCTGTAATTCAAATACTATTTCCTTTGAAGTCTTCCAGGACTACCACCCACTAGCCAGAGTTAGCTTAATGATTTTTTTCAATCCATCATCTAAAACCATGCCAATAAATATTTGACCATTGAAAGAATAAATGAACTTGTGTGAATACCTTAGAAATCGGGAATAAATTACAATAATTTTTTTGAGACCCAAAAGGATGAAAGGACAGTAACTTTTTCGAAGATACATTCTTTGGATCTACTCTGATTATGTGTGAATCTTATAGTCTAATAGCAGGTAGAGTAAAGGAAGGGTCTGAGCTGTATGATTTCTGGATATAATGGGCTGGAGTCAGTGGGGAAGGGAATGCTCTATAAAACATGGTTGAATGATTCTGAAAGAATCACAGACATGAGGCTAGTGAGCAAGGAGTGATACAGTTTGAAAGTGCTTCATTTGCATGTTTTCTTGCTTTGGCCTTGTATGAAAGTCATTGACATCTCCCCCACTGGTATATGAAAAGCAGATAACTGATGTAGTACATAGTTAAATAGCAGTATCTATGGCTAGATGCATTTTATAGCCACAGAGGGAACTTCTGCACAAAATGTTAACTAGTTTTCAAAAGTCTACTGAGCAGGGCGCAGTGGCGAGTGCCTATAGTCCCAGCTAATCAGGAGGCTGAGGTGGGAGGATCACTTGAGTCCAGGAGTTCTGGGCTGTAGTGTGCTGTGCTAATCGGGTGTCTGCACTAAGTTCAGCATCAATATGGTGACCTCCTGGAAGAGGGGCACCACCAGGTTGCCTAAGGAGGAGTGAACCAGCCCAGGTCAGGAACGGAGCAGGTCAAAACTCCTGTGCTGATCAGTAATGGGATCATGCCTTGGTGAACAGCCACTGCACTCCAGCCTGGGCAACATAGCAAGACCCTGTCTCTGTAAAAAATCGTCTACTGAAAATCAGATCTTGTGTCTTTTGTCCACTGGAATGTTTTGGACTGTAAGTAATAGAAAGCAAAACTCTGAATGGGTTATACAATAAGCAAGATTTACTATCTTAAGAACAACAAGTCTTGAGATGGGTTCACAGAATGATTGGTTAATTCAGCAGCTCTGTCACATCTTGAAAAATGACTTTGCCATCCTCTGTGTTGGCTTTGTTCTCAAGGGATCTCTTGGGATTGCAAGATGGCTGCTGCGTTTCTGGGCAGTACATGTTTAAGGGCAAGGAAACTTTTCCCAACCTGCCAGAAGCCTCTTGTTACATCATCTTGGCTAGAATTGGGGCACATGCCTGTCACAAACTCACCCTACAAATTACTAGTAAGGAAAATGGGCCTACCAAAACTGGCTTAGGTATTTCAGTTTTACTCCCAAATTTGAGATAAGGTCACCTTCCTTGGAAGAATCAAAACTTGGAAGCACCTCATCAAAATGAGGATTCTCTTAATAAGAAGAAAGAAGGTACTTTTCTCTTGAATAGGCAACCAACATTTTCTGCTACATATGCCTCAGTGGAAATGCCTCATTCATATATCCATATTACTCTCTGGTATCAAATTATGGGTGTTTTAAGCTGTGAGTGTGTTAATTTGGTGATGGTGACAACTTTACATATTAAAAATATAGCCATTGGCCAGGCACAGTGGCTCATGCCTGTAATCCCAGCACTTTGAGGGGGCCAAGGTGGGCAGATCACGAGGTCAGGAGTTCAAGACCAGCCTGGCCAACGTACTGAAACCCCATCTCTACTAAAAATCAAAAATTAGCCAGGCATGATGTTGCATGCCTGTAGTCCCAGCTACTTGGGAGGTTGAGGCAGGAGAATCACTTGAACCCAGGAGGCGGAGGTGGCAGTGAGCCGAGATTGTGCCACTGCACTCCAGTCTGGGTGACAGAGTGAGACTCCATCTCAAAAAAAAAAATAGCCATCATCTGGTGAGGGAAAGGCAGTATACCCAAAAAATCCAGAAAAATCTCCATTACTTGATGCTACTAATGAAATCAACCCTTCATCCCAGAATTAGGACAGGTAATGGACTGTAAAGACTTAGGTCATTCCACTGGGAGGAGACAGTTCCTTGAGATAAGAAAGCAAAAAGAAGCCAGTTCTGTAATGAACAGGGGAGAAATGCAAAGGTCCTGGGGGAGAAATGCAAAGGTCCTGAGGCAGAAAACTGAAAGTGTCTGAAAGCAGGGGTGACTGGCTCACAGTGAGCAGGAAGAGAATGGCAGGAGGTGAGAATGGAGAATGCGGAGAGAGAGGCACTGCAGAGAGGTCTTGTCGGTCCTGATAAAGGAGTTGAGGTTTTTATTCTGATGCAGAGAAAAATCACTGAGGGATTAAAGAGGATCTATATCTGTAAAATGTCCTCTGCAGGACAATTTCATACACTGGAAAGAGTAACACCATTTGATGAAGTCTTCCTATCTTTAGAGAAGCTACTTACAAAGACCCAACTTAATAGACGATTGCCAGGAATTCAACTTCATTATCTTGATTCGGTACAAAGTTGACCTTTAGTTCTAGTTGGTGTATGTATGCTTCCTGGACAGGTTTGCCTAGGGGAATGATTTCTTCTAGAGAAACTCTAATAAGATATTTTAAATAAAAAACAGTGCCTCTGAGGAGAAAAGAGCTTAATTTCTCAATTCAATGGTTGATCATTCATTGATCTCTCAGCTGAGTTCTAGAGTAAGATGCTGCCCTTTTGGACAGAAAAGGTTAGGCAGGTCCGTCTTCCCCACATGGTCAGCCAGGTCTCCTTTCAGTACGGGGCGTGGTTCACACTCTCTGGGATGTACACTTAAGGGGCTGAGTTCGTAACAGCAACTGCTTGTTCCCCTTACCAAGTGCTTTCCCACTGCAGGTTGTGTTTGTAGGGCCTGGTGTGTTCCAGAACTCTCCCGTTTCTTTACCAGTTCCTTGATTTGAAATTTTTGTTAATTTTTTCTTCACTTTTTCAACAATCTTTATCGAACTCCTGTGCCTATGTGAAGATAAACACATTGCAGGGCACTGAAGAACAGTGTTAGGGCAGTGTTAGCATATGGTGCTAGGGAGCTCAGGGAGTGATCACTTATCTTGCCTAAATGGGCTTCTTGGAGGAGGTGACAGAGCTAAGGTTTCAAAGGAGTCTCACTCATGCTGACGTCTCTGAGAAAGATGGATCCTAGAGTGGAAAGTCATCTGGAGACTACTGGAGAAATCTAAGGAGAGACCAAAATTCTTGGTCCAGAGGTAGAGGAAAAGTTTGCTTAAAGAGATAAACAGGTTTTCAGGGAATAGAGCCAGGGGAACTTGGAGGATAACTGGGCATAGGACAAAACTGGGGTAATTCCAAGAGTTTGCAGCCACACCCATCTGCTCTCCAAGAAATAGTTCCCAAGCTGAAACTCAAAGGTCACCAGTGTTCTTCATGAGTTCCTACTCTGAATCTATTACCCTTTTTCATGACCCTTTTTGGAACATTGATGAAGAGGAAGTGGTATCATGTATGGTTTCGGAATATAGTGCTTGAGTCATTCTATTAGCTCTTGTTTACAGAACATATTAAGACGCTTTCAAGGAAATACAAATAATTAGGATTCTTCGATGCCTATTTCCTGCCAGTGGTCAACCAGTCTTCTAAGTATGATTAATGTGAGAAGTGAAACTATTTTCCTAAATGCTGTTTCTTTTCTTTTTCAATTATGAAGTATATTCGGTGCTCTTCGAACTGGTGCTTATATGGTGTACATTTTGATGACCAAAGGCCTGAAGCAGTCAGTTTGTGACCAGAGTTTTTACAATGGACCTGTCAGCAAATTCTGGGCTTATGCATTTGTGCTAAGCAAAGCACCTGAACTAGGTGAGTATCTTCTTCAATTTCCTCTCCCTCTCTTTGCAGAAATGTATCCACAATATTTATTTAGTGAACAAAGAAACAATTGGGAGGTCCTATTTTGTTGGTTGCAGGAAAGTTACAATGAATGAATTTGAGTTCTTGACTAACTTCTACTTTCTATTATTCCCTCCCTGTTTCCTTTTAAATAATTTTACATTGTGTATATTAAGAGCAGATAGTTACATTGAACAGGATGATTTTGGAGCACTACTAAAAATACACTTCCAGGGGCTTATAAAATGTACACAGCCCCCTTTCTGAGGTCCACTGAGCTGAGCTAATATTAAAATATGGGGAAAAAAGAGCAACACTGCTGTTTCCAACTCCCATATCTGAGCACTCTTTCATCTGTAGAGTTAGGATTCAGATTAGAAATTAAGCTTTTCATTTGGGGACCCTCATGTTCTCATTAACAAATGCTAAGGGCTGGTCTCTGGTGGTGTTTGCTTTTAATCATCCAGATGACCTTAGGGAAGGGGAATGTAATTTACTTTCTAGAAATTAATAGAAAACACAGGCTGTATTTGTAGATTTCTATAATTTTTCCCTCAACTCTTTAGTGGTCTTGAATCTAAGTGTGGCATAGGTTAGCAGAAATAAGTCAAGGAGTTGATGTGAGCACAGTTTTCCAGGAAAATGTCTTTATTTACACAGATAGATACCTACTGGTGACGGTAATGCTAGCAAACTGGTACGATTCTTAAGGTCGACCTGGTCACCCTCTGGGGTTCTGGATTTTTTTTTTTTTAACCTGGAATTAAGAGTTGTATATATTTAGTTCAAAAGATATCAATTGTGATTTTTGCCATTGTTTTCAATGGCAAAACAGCAGTTACTTTTGCACCAACCTAAAATGTATTGTCCCCTGTCCTGGAGAAATCCAAGGAGAGGCCAAAAAGCCTGGGCTGGTAAGGTAAGTACAGAGGTAGAGGAAAAGTTTGCTTAAAGAGTTAAATGGGTTTTCAGGGAATGAAGCCAGGGGAACTTGGAGGATGATTGAGCATAGGGCAAAACTGGGTAATTCCAAGAGTTTGCGGCCAGACCCATCTGCTCCTACAAAGGGAGTTTGTGGTTGCACTTTCCTTACAAGCCACCTGCAACATAAGCTATGAGCAGTCTTCTTTCTGTAAGGCACCCCTTGTTCATGCCCTGTGTCTATTCAGATAGAATAGGAAATGTCTGATGTGTGCAGGGCCAGCAAGCCAGTCATCATCTACTGCATGCTAGAAATCTGCTTTCTGCAAGTAGATGACAGTTAGTTTGAGCTTTTGTCTTCCCACGTCAAAAACAAGGGAAGAGCAACAGAAGAAAACTTTTCCTGAAAACCTTTCCTAAGAGGGGCAGAGGTACAAAGATAATCCAAAATAACTAGATAACTACCACATGCATGTGCCCACCCGCACATACCTTCACACATATGCCTATTTACACGCAGCCTATGAAGACAGTCTCAGGGTGAAATGCATTAGTGTGGATTCATTCGTCATTCATTCAATGCATTTATGTTAAGCACCAGCTGAAATAGAATGGCAACTTTATCTAAAAAAAAAAATTTTACAATATGATTATGAACAAGGCCCCAGCATGTATCAATACCATTAAGTATGAAGTCATAGGCTAGAGAAGTGGTTTTCACCCTGGATCTACAGACAAAGCCTGAAAAATCTGAAGACGTATTTCTGGGAATTTAAATCGTATATAAGAGTATTTTAATTTGCTTTGATTCATAGAGTTTTTGAATCAGAGCACTTATTCTCAAACTGGGGTTGACCTGAGAGTATGAGCATGTATTCTTTACTCTTGGATTTTTTTTGGGCGGGGGGGGGGAGAGGGACATAGTCTTACTCTGTTACACAGGCTGGAGTGCAGTGGTGTGATCTCAGCTCACTGCAACCTCCGCCTCTGGGGTTCAAATGATTCTCATGCCTCAGCCTCCCAAGCAGCTGGGATTACAGGTGTGTGCCACCACGCTCAGCGAATTTCTGTATTTTCAGTAGAGATGGGGTTTCACCATATTGGCCAGGCTGGACTCTAACTCCTGACCTCAGGTAATCAGCCCGCCTCTGCCTCCCAAAGTGCAGGGATTACAGGCGTGAGCCACCACACCCAGCCATGACTTTTTTCTTTAAAATAAATTGACACGTTGTTAAAGTTTGAATTATTTAAGTTGAAAAATATATCCCTCTTTTATGCTATTTAATAACCTTATTAATCCCCTATCTTTTTTGACAAAGGCCTGACTACAGCTACATAAATGCAGTGAATGCATGAAACATGTGGTTTCCCCTGAATGCTTCCCCTGAAGACTTTCACAATGTCTGCTTCTACTATTTCCAGAAAAAAATTTTTAATAAGAAATGGTATGATGCTTCTGACCTTTAAGCCTCAGATCGCAAAGAAGCAGCCTTAGTGTTTTCTTCTAGAAATGCCTTTCCCTGCAGGGGCTACTTGTCTGTATTGTGTTCTGAGTCATATGCAGTTGTATTCGAGGTGCGTGAGAACAAACACAGTCCTTACACAGTCCTTTCACAGTCCTTTCCACCTTCTGGAGGAATAATTTATCGAAATGCCACCTCAAGCCATCTGTAGTGATGAATTTCCTTTAAAGACATAATTAGATCTATGTTCTCTGTCCTCCTGACTTTTAGGATTCCTAGAGAAGACCTCCTAGTGCAGCACCCAGAGGTGTTCATCCTACATCTTGGTTGTGTTGATCCTGATGATGTTAATATCACCTGTCTTAATTTAACCTAGGCCCAAATGTCCATGCCCCTTGGCCTCATAGTGGACATTGTAATTGAACACAGCATTCTCCCTTGAGCCCCAAAGGAGCCATAGTCCAGTCTCCTACCTCCACAGGACAGATGTACCACTGGCATGATAATCCCTTTCCCTGGAAAGGTCTCATTCATCACAATAATTAGTGGCAGTCCTTTGTGGATTATCCAACAATTGATCCCTTTGCAGTTAAAATATGAGATTGAAGGGTTGGGAAAAATAATATTCTAATCTTGACACAGTTATTTAATGAGGCTAATTAGTAACACAAATTCTTCATACTTTAAACCCTTATACAGATAATTTTCATGTTCTGAGTACCTTTTTCTTTTGACATTTAAAAATATAGAATATTAGGCTGGGAGCAGTGGCTCATGCAGGTTATCCCAGCACTTAGGGAGGCTGAGGCAGGCGGATCACCTGAGGTCAGGAGTTTGAGACTAACCTGACCAACATGGAGAAACCCCATCTCTAGTAAAAATACAAAATCAGCCAGGCATGGTGGCACATGCCTGTAATCCCAGCTACTTGGGAGGCTGATGCAGGAGAATTGATTGAACCCAGAGGGCAGAGGTTGTGGTGAGCCAAGATCGCACCATTGCACTCCAGCCTAGGCAACAAGGGTGAAAGGCCATCTCAAAAAATAAAAAATAAATTAAATATATATAATATTGTTCTTCAAATATTCTGGACCTCCTTTGAGCCATTCGGAGGGAAACTGCTGACTCAAAACAGAACCAAAATCAGTGCAAGTGTCTCCAAGACAAGCAGCCCCAGGTCTTTATATAGTGAACATGTTTGCCTGGATGAATTTTTTATTCCCATGCATTTTAGAGGTTAAATTTCTTTCTGGTTTTTGCAGTTGGAAAATCTTGTCACTGCAATTTAATTAAAAGATTTACCCATTTGCTTTAGTTAGAACTTTTCTTATTTTGCGGTCCCAAGTTCTACCTTTCAATACTCTAAGATTCTGGGCTCTCTTATAAGCACCAAAAGGAAAAGATCTTGTGAGAATTAAAAAAAAAAGTTCTTTCATGTGAGAATTAAAAAAAAAAGTATAATACTGACACTGTATTCCCCCAGCCCCCACAAACTCACACTTTTATTTTAAATTGCCGTAAAATATATATATTTTTTTCAGATCGTTGAGCAATCATCACTCTATCAACTTCCACAACTTTTGCATCTTCCCCAACTGAAATGCTACTCGTTCCACACTAACTCTCCCTTCACTAAACTCTTAATAAATAGCAAGAAAAGCTTTCTGTTTCAGCAGAAAACCATGAGCTCATTTCAGTGAAGCATGGGGTTGCAGTCCACTAGAACAAGTGAGAGAAAGAGAGCCACTAACCTGCTTTGTGTGCCAAATCTTTGAGCACCTACTATTTGGATTATATTAAAAGCTGCTGAGATTTGGTTTTGTTAACACTTGGAAATATCTGCTCTGCGCTCAGGTCCTTGCTCAGTTGAGCATGTCATTGTTTTTGAAGCTCTGACTCAGCAGCCCTCTAGCTAGCTCTGGGAAAAGGGACTCAGCTGTGTGTGACAAACCACACACACAGTCGCCTCTCTGTGTCTCTCGGTGGCTGAGAGCACCCCGGGGATTTCCAAATGCTGGTTGCTTTTCCTATAGCTGCAAAGGTATAGCTCAAAAGTGACCCTTGGGTATGAGAAACACCATGCCCTGCCTGAAAGCTGCCTCTCGAATGAAAATAGTTAGACCAAAGTTTCGAGAGATCATGATAAGAGAACATGAGCCAGGAAGTAGGTAAAATGACATGACTGAAACATTCAAGAGTCTAAAGTCCCATTGCTTGTACTTGGCCAAAATCCCTCCTGTTATGCCAACAGGACGTTTGAACGAGAAAGGTTGATTAACCAACTCAAATACACAGTCCCTCTGATAGTTTACATTTCTGGGTCACTCTATGGCCTCTGGAAAGCCCCAAATTATCATGACTTGGCATGACTCTAGCTCATGACAAATTAATAATGACATTATGTGGTTTCCCCAGAGGAAAAATAATTTGTACCTGCCAGAGTGGCATAACTGATGCATCTCAGCTGCCATATCCAAGACCGTGAGAGGTCTTGGTTAACCCTTCCAGAACCTCACTAGTTTTCCCCTGCCTGAGGGAAACTACCAGTCTTTGGGTCAGCAGTCTTGGGGACAGTAACCCTGATAGGGTGTTGAATGGTGCTATGGATCAGCTCCAGAACCATTGCTGGGAGATGCTCAATTTCATTCCTGCACCTACCATCCTGCATATGCATTCTGGAAAACACTCCTAAGCAAATTCAAATTAATTTTGTCATCTAGATTTTGGGACATGTTTTCCTCTCTCCTGTCCCCCACCCTTCTCCCCTCCCTACTCCTAAAGTAACTAGAAACACCCAATGTGTCTCAGATAAACTGGAGATATACCCTCACCTCCAGACAGGAGAAACACAAAGCCATTCTCAACTCCAGAATTGTATGTTTCACTAAACTCCAGAATTGTACGTTTCACTTCCATCCTATGCTAGCCCATTGTAATATGGTTTTTCTTAATCATTCTTTAGACAATAAATTTTTAATATAAAAGTGATGATAGAGTTAAATTAAGCTAAAGAATTAGGAGGAAATGCATATCTCTTTATGATGAATTTATTATAATGTGTTTGGAATTATATGGGGGCTTATATTAGTGAATGGTAAGAGACTCATAAAAACATCTATTCAATTATGAATGATTAAATTTGTTTTAAACATACAGTTTCTTGGATGCCTACCTTCTTTCCACTATGAACAATGGTAGCTGGAATTGATCATGTCTGCGTTATTGTCCACAGGGGGATTGGAGGCCCAGAATAGTGCTTCTACGGAAATGGTAGATCTCTTACAGGCACACTAAAATAGCACAGTTTAACACTGAGAAGCAGGCCCAGGGTCTCCTGACACCAGTTTTGTCCCTTAAGTTTACTTATGAGGGTTACCATCACCATCCGTCATTATTAGCCTGTCTGACATTTATAGATACCATAAAAGTCAGGCATCTTTCAAGAGAGAAGATGACTTCAACAAAAATTTGATAACAGGCTAGAAATATAGCAACTGACAACTTTCCTTTTTATTTTTATTTTTTTGAGATGGAGTCTCGCTCTGTGACCCAGGCTGGAGTGCAATGGCACGATCTTGGCTCACTGCAACCTCTGCCTCCTAGGTACAAACGATTCTCCTGTCTCAGCCTCCTGAGTAGCTAGGATTACAGGTGCCTGCCACCATGTCCAGCTAATTTTTGTATTTTTAGTAGAGACGGGGTTTTGCCATGTTGGCCAGGCTGGTCTCGAACTCCTGACTTCAGGAGTTTGCCCACCTTGGCCTCCAAAACTACTGTGATTACAGGCATGAGCCACCACACCTGGCCAGCTTTCCTTTTCTATTGTAAACAAATATGAAGTAATAGTATTTAACAGTTTAATAGGTGAATAAACTAATAGCTCTCCTAATGAATGGAATGGGGCACCATCTTATCATTCCAGCCACTGCCAGCAGAACCTTAGAAGTCTTTCTCCATAGCCCAGCATTCTTTGACCTTGCCCAGTGCAAGCATTTTAGGCCATCCATGAAGTATATGAGGGATAAGGTAGGAATAAGTACTGGGTTTTTGTACTTAATTAAATTTTAGAAGAGAAGAACCAGGCATGGTGGCTCACGCTTGTAGTCCTAGCACGTTAGGAGGCTGAGGCCAGCGGATAGATTAAGCTTAGGAGTTCAAGACCTCCTCTCTACAAAAAAGTTTTTTTAAAAAATCAGCTGGGGTGGCACGTGCCTGCAGTGCCAGCTACTCCTGAGGCTGCAGTGAGACATCGGATCGCTTGAGCCCAGGAGATCAAGTCTTCAGTGAGCTGGGATCATGCCTAGATGACAGTGCGAGACCCTATCTCAAAAACAATTTAAAAATTAAAAGAACCTTCTAGCTCTTGTTTTTACATTAAGAAAAGCCAGGTTTGAGTTCTCCAAAGGTCATGAAGGATGTCGGTTTTTCCCATGTCTCCTAACCATAGAGATAGGAAAGAGAAAGAATCATTCACCTGTATTAGCCTGTTTCTGTCCCACATCCTTGTGTATCTTCCCTTATTCTCTTACTCACTAATCGAATTGGGTGTATTTTTCACTGGACCAATTTTACACAAATGTTCTACAGTCTATTTTCAGAGCCCTGAGACTTTTCAGTGAAGCATTGCAGATACATAGCATCTACCCACCTCAGCATCATTCTAGCTTTCATAATGTAAATTCCTTGCCCCAGAAGCTGTGGTCTTTTCCTTCAAAGAGATATTGTGAGACAAAACTCTGATAGATCCTGGAAAGCTTACAACTTAATTCTATAAAATGAAACTGTTATTTTTAATTTCTCCTCACTTGATTCACTGATATAAAATATTCCTATTACCCTTGTCAGCAAATGTGTCTAGAAGAGGACTTTTGTCCCCCTTTTTCTGTCTACCTTTTGTTTAGATTTTACTGTTCTCACTGACATTTGGCAAGGCTTTGTAATTTACAGGGAGCTCACAAAGATATGTGTTTGAGGTATACCTTTTGTCACGTACCAAAGAAAAATTATGGTTTTACTACTCTACAAAGAGGCCTTAGAACATGTTGCTGGGAGCTTGAGTTTCTTTCTGTTTCTTTTGATTGATAAATGATCTAAAATTCCAGTCTGGTTTTTTTTTTTTATTGATAAATGATCTAAGACAAGTCACCTGTCCTCTCCAGGTGATATTTCCTGAAATGTATGGTTGAGTTAGGAGTTGGCAATACAGTTGTTAGTATCTCTTCCAAATCAATGATAAATACGATTTTGTGTGAAATACCTTGAAAGAAACATTTACTGCTTCCCTATTGTGTCTGAAGAGGGCCATGCTGATTATCCTACTTAATGCTCAGGCAATTCCATGCTACTCTTTTCAATTATCACCATTTCTATAGATGAGGAAACTGGAAATAGTGAGGATAACTTGCCCCGGGTCACAGAGCTCGTAAGTACCAGCCCAGAGTTCTAATCCAGTCCATCTAACTCTCAGGTCTTAACTTAAGATGTCTATCCTCTTACAAAACTGTAAGTCATTGTCATTGGTGGTCAAGGACCTCACGTACCTTCTTCCCTTTGTCTTTCAGGAGATACAATATTCATTATTCTGAGGAAGCAGAAGCTGATCTTCCTGCACTGGTACCACCACATCACTGTGCTTCTGTACTCTTGGTACTCCTACAAAGACATGGTTGCCGGGGGAGGTTGGTTCATGACTATGAACTATGGCGTGCACGCCGTGATGTACTCTTACTATGCCTTGCGGGCGGCGGGTTTCCGAGTCTCCCGGAAGTTTGCCATGTTCATCACCTTGTCCCAGATCACTCAGATGCTGATGGGCTGTGTCGTTAACTACCTGGTCTTCTACTGGATGCAGCATGACCAGTGTTACTCTCACTTTCAGAACATCTTCTGGTCCTCACTCATGTACCTCAGCTATCTTGTGCTCTTCTGCCATTTCTTCTTTGAGGCCTACATCGGCAAGATGAGGAAAACAACGAAGGCTGAATAGTGTTGGAACTGAGGAGGAAGCCATAGCTCAGGGTCATCAAGAAAAATAACAGACAAAAGAAAATGGCACAAGGAATCACACGTGGTGCAGCTAAAACAAAACAAAACATGAGCAAACACAAAACCCAAGGCAGCTTAGGGATAATTAGGTTGATTTAACCCAGTAAGTTTATGATCCTTTTAGGGTGAGGACTCACTGAGTGCACCTCCATCTCCAAGCACTGCTGCTGGAAGACCCCATTCCCTCTTTATCTGTCAACTCTAGGACAAGGGAGAACAAAAGAAAGCCAGAGGCAAAGGAGAATAATCAAGGCAAACAAAGGCTGTTAACACATAGAAAAAAATGCATTTACTAAGTGTCACATTTCTCTAAGATGAAAGATTTTTACTCTAGAAACTGCGAGCACACACACAGAATCCTTTCTAACCTTTATGGACACTAAACTGGAGCCAATAGAAAAGCTAAAAATGAAAGAGACACAGGGTGTATATCTAGAACAATAACGCTTTTGCAGAAACTAAAGCCTTTTTAAGAAATGTTAGCTGCTGTAGCCCCCATGAGAAAAGATGTCTTAATCATCCTTATGAAAACAGATGTAAACAACTAGGTTTCAACTAACTTCACCCTCACTTCATAGCCTCAGGCTAGTGAGTTTGCCAAAACCAAAGGGGGCGAATACTTTCCCTACGTTGTTCCTGGGAGGATGGAAACCGGGCAGCCCAGGTCCCACAGGGGCAGCTCCATCCCAGGGCATTTCTGATAGTTGAACTGTAATTTCTACTCTTAAATGAGGTATGAAGCATTATCCTTTTGTTCAGTTGCCCCGAGCTTTTGAACAGAGGAGTAAATACAGCATCGAAAAGATAAACACTCAACCAAACCATGTAAAAACGGGTCTGTAGTATCTGTAAAAAGGCCCAGCCCAGGACCACTGTGAGCTGGAAAAGGGAGAAAGACAGTAGGAAAAGAGGTGAGCTGAAGATCAATTCGATAGACAGATGGTGTGTATGCCCCTCCCTATTTCACTTCACACACACTCATAACTTTCCAAATGAAACCCCGTAGCACAGCACATATTTCCTATATTTTTGTGAATTCCAAAAGGAACCCGCAGGGCTCTTCCTGGGATATTGGATGAACACTGTTTCTGCATCATCTGCATTTGCTCCCCAAGCAATGCAGAGGTGTTCAAACTGCCCTCTGCTGGCTGAGTGGCAATACTACAACAAACTTAATGGCAAATTTGGCTGAAAGTCGACAACAAAGAGCCCCTATATACTTATCCCTCAAATTTTAAGTGATATGAAATACTTGTCATATCTTTGGCAAAATCAGAAGATAGTTATCCTGCTTCAAGTCAGCTTCAGAAATTGTTTAAAAGGGACCTTCGCTCTGGAACTCAAAATCAATTTATTAAGAGCCATATTCTTAAAAAAAAAAAAAGCTGGATAATATTATCTGTAATATTTCAGTCCTTTACAAGCCAAATACATGTGTCAATGTTTCTAGTATTTCAAAGAAGCAATTATGTAAAGTTGTTCAATGTGACATAATAGTATTATAATTGGTTAAGTAGCTTAATGATTAGGCAAACTAGATGAAAAGATTAGGGGCTTCTGCACGGCATAGATTACATACACATAGCCACGCATACATGCATACAGATGCGGAGTACACTGAACTTCAAAGCCCAAATGAATAGAAACACATTTTCTGGCTAGCAGAAAAACAAAACAAAACTGTTGTTTCTCTTTCTTCCTTTGAAAGTGTACAGTAAAAGGGATTTTTTCAAATTATTTTTATATTATTTTAGCTTTAATTGTGCTGTTGTTCATGAAACAGAGCTGCTCTGCTTTTCTGTCAGAGATGGCAAGGGCTTTTTCAGCATCTCGTTTATGTGTGGAATTTAAAGAGAATAAAGTTTTATTCCATTCTGTGTGAATGGTTTGAGCAGTGAACAAAGAATCCATGCAAAGCAAGTCATGATGGAAGAATGAGGGGGAGGGGGGCAGTGCAGGGGAGGAAAGCTGTTACATCTGTGTTGAATTATTGTGAGCAGTCTATAATGTCTTGGTGTTGGTTCATAGATGAAACACAACTGATGGAAGAATGTATTATAAATTATGCAAAATCTGACATGAGCTGAAAAGACAGGTGCTGTTATAAAAACTAATAGATTCTTAGGATGTAAATGTTATTTTGAGCTTCGCAAATACACGAAACTGTGCAATAAGCCTTTTTTTCCTTATAACAGAAAATGAGGATAATTAAAATGAGGAGAAGGCCCCATGACAGTTGACTTGAGTTTAATTGAAGGACCCATTGGAGGCTCCTCTGGTCGACTTAATTATTTCATTCAGTGATTTATCGCAGATCTTTTAATGCAGGTTAGAATAAGGAAGTGAGCGTAAACCATAAAAAGACTCTAAATGATGCTTCCAAAGCACTTTTATCTTGCTATTAGGTTCATGTTTGTCTTTACTTGTAAAATAATTTGGAATGTTTGTTTACAGGGTGAATGTCTGATACTTTTTAAATTAGCTAAATGTATCTAAAGGCATTTCCAATGTTTATCATGGGAGGAAAAAAGCCACATTTTTTTAAGAAAACAAAATTTTGGTAGTATAAGTTCAATACACTATTTTTAACATCTCAGCTTAGCTGCTTTAATCATATCAAGGTAGATATGAGGCTGGATCACTGGCCCATGACAAATCTGAAAGCTGCCAGAGAATTGACTGCCACATAGATAATCCTGCTGTCAGTTAACATTCCAGAAAAACTTGGGCAGGCAAGTTTTTATAGCTGCCCCACTATGCTGCAATAGAGTATCTTTCTATTGAAGATTTTCCACTGCATTCCAGTCCTACTATGGTGAAAACATTGTTCTCGGACTAAAAAAAAAAATCCTTTATTTCATACACACAAAATTTCATACACTAGGTCTGAGCATCAACCCAAGTCCATGAGTTTGCAGTGAAGTTCTAGTGAGAAGTGCTCTATTCATAAAGCAGGGGGTTTATGTGGACCTTCTAGTGTTGCTTATAGGAAAAGAGTAACTACCATATTACATCTAATGCAAAGCCAAAGTATCAAATTAAAATCACAGATTGAGGTTGTTATTCAAAGTCACTTACTCCCATCCTTCTAATTATGCTCCACTACAGAAGTAAGGGGAAGAGAGGGAATACTTTACATGTACACTGCTAGCGGGAAAAGAAAGGATCGATTATATCCACTTTGCTTATCCATCTCTCTTTACTTATGTAAAGAAACGGATTAGAACAGAGACTAATATACCTGGACTGAGTTAGAAACTTTATATAAATGGGTTTTGTGGGATTGATTGGAAAGACAGTGAGAACCTAGGAGAACACGAAAAGACCCATAGAATGTCTCTTTTGAAATCGAGTCTCGCTGTTGTTGTCTGGGCTGGAGCACAGTGGCACGATCTTGGCAAACTGCAACCCCTGCCTCACAGGTTCCAGCCATTCTCCTGCCTCCCAAGTAGTTGAGATTAACAGCCACCCACCATCACTCCTGGCTAATTTTTGTATTTTTAGTAGAAATCGGGTTTCACCATGTTGGCCAGGCTGGTCTCAAACTCCTGACCTCAGGTGATCCACCGCCCCCTCCCGCCCCATCTCCCAAAGTGCTGGAATTTCAGGCATGAGCTACTGTGCCCAGCCCAGATGTCTTTTTTTAAATCAGATGTAGCATCTTCATAAGGTGAAGGCTGTCACATAGAAGTAACAAAGCTCCTGGAGTAGAGTGACGCTAGCATAGAATGTTCCAGACATCTGGCCATAGTCCCAGACTCTGAATTACCTGGAAGGGACAAAATGCCCAGATTACCATTTTTTCTGTATTCTGATAGCACAGCTTCTACTCAGAGACCATGTGTGTGTCACATAACCAAGGCAGCTAGAGCACATTCTGAGGGCTTTTTTTCTGGTTTGCTTAATGATTCTTTGAGAGTAACTGGATTGGCCAAGGGGTGACTCAACAGGGCTGTGAGAAGAGTGTAGAACAAATGGGTTTTGCCTCTCAGAGTTTAGAGCTTCAAGCTGTATAAGCATTGGTCCATATCCACCTCTTTTAGACACTTCCTTAAAAGTTTCCATCATGAAAATCATATCGTGTCAGAATCTTATGAGAGCCCATAACTTCCCCATAGTCAAAGGTAGTGACTTTCTCCAGTCTTTGTTTCCAATAATAAATATCTCGCTCTCAGTTTAGAACTATTGTAGAGCTGGTGTCCGTGCTGTGAGTCATTGTGTCCCACAGCTTTTAAAACATCGTTCTCTTTTCTATACCACACCTGATTCTTTGTGCCTCAGACTCATTGCCATCAGGAAGAGACTTTGCCAAGAATCCACCACCACATTTGGCCAGTGGTGTATACACATTAAAGTGAGAGCTGATGAAATGGTGACGCCCTATTTTGTTCCGACAATCAGTATGAAGGGGTAGATCCCAGTCTGCCAGTGAGCCAACAGCCTCTGTACGCTGGTATCCGAGACTAACAGGAAACAAGTGTCAGCGCAGCCACGGCATTTTTGTGAATGCTGTTGTGACAGACTCCAGTTATAAACATCTGTGAGCCATCTGGCACAACACAGAGCTGAAGAGGCCAGTTCAGTGCACCTGCACAGAGCACTGAAGAACATGCACAAGCCTCTTGAATCACCAAGTTATTTTCCTCATCCTCAGAGACTTTGACAATTCAGGGCTCACAGATGGCGGGGGGGGGGAATTCTCAGGCTTCCCTTCCTCCTAAATGACACTTTTTAAAGGAAGTGACGTGGAAGTTGTTCTAGGAGTTAGATGGACAGTACGAGCACATTCGTGAGTGGGGCTTGGGGAAGTCTCAAAAATGGCACTTTGGTTTTAGGCTGGGCAGGCAAAAGTCTCACAGTGAGATATATTTAACTGGACGTCTAAACCCACAACTGCATTGTAGTAACTTCTTCTGAAGTAATTGGTTAAATTAAGAACTGGTTTCATAAGTTGGGGCCAAGCCACATTTAAAACCCATTCGGGCCTGCAGTGAAGGGTTCTGACTCACGTTGGTATTTAAGTGCTGTTACTTTCCCAATGCCTTAGTACCACTTGAGACTGTATTTCAATGGACAGAAACCAAGAAGGCCACAGCAGTAGCCTAATAGTCCTCCCTGGTCATACTTGTTTCAAACAGGTCTGCCTGTCTGGGCACGCTCAGGCAGGAGGTTTCTTGCTGCTATCTTGAAAACCACTGGAAGATTCAGCTTCTTGGGGACCTCAGAGCCTGTGTTCATATGGAAGCCCACCCATATAAGCTTCACAGAGCAAATCACAGCAATGTTCAAGTTGTTATTTTCAAGTGCTTATTTCACAACATTAAAAAAAATATTTTTCCTGGTGTATTAAAATTAAAAATAAAATCATAACTTTTGATTTAAAATCAAACTGTGTTTCTGTTTTCTTTCCTCTCTTACTCTGGGCGGTTTAAATGGAACATCTAAGACACTGAGGGTTCCTCAAATATTCAGAAGTGCCATTTCCACATTTGCATCCACAGGCTCAGGGAACAGAGACGAGTCACTGAAACTCCTTGCTTTCTGTAGAGCCCAAAAATGTTGTAGCCCTCAACTACCACTGACTAAGTGTCCATAAGATGTCCAGCCCTTCAGTCATCCCTTTCGTGGATATGACATTTTACAATACACGTGTTTTCCGCATCTGTTGATTCACCAGAGCAGTCTTAATGGGGCAGACAGACTAAATTGAATCTCCGTTTTAACAGATGAGGAAAATGTGCTTATTAGATCCACTGCTACAGAAGTGGAAGGAATGAAATTTGAACATCATCATCTCAGCTTGGATTTTGCTGCAGCCATTCAATCTTTTGAGAAGAATGAGAGTGTAAATGAATAAAATACTTGGCACTGATCTTTGCCATGTCGTTGGACAGAGCGTCTCCGGGCAAAATAAATCTTAGGGAAAATAATAAGTACACCTTCTTAGTGGTGCAGCACATTACTCACATGCCTGCTGGCTATGAGCAGGAGGAGTCTAAGTCATCCACTCCCTGATCCCTAAATAATTTAGCCTTCAAACTCTAGTGTTCTGGTAAGTTCCACTGCATACTTTACAGGTGAAACAGTCTGTCACTCTTCATGACTTTTTGGAGCATCATTACAGTGTGTACAAAAGCAATGTCCCTACAGTGTTTATATATAATTTTTTTTTTTTTTGAGACGGAGTTTTGCTCTTGTTACCCAGGCTGGAGTACAATGGCACGATCTCAGCTCACTGCAACCTCTGCCTCCTGGGTTCAGGCAATTCTCCTGCCTCAGCCTCCTGAGTAGCTGGGATTACAGGCACGCGCCACCATGCCCAGCTAATTTTTTGTATTTTTAGTAGAGACGGGGTTTCACCATGTTGACCAGGATGGTCTCGATCTCTTGACCTAGGGATCCACCCGCCTCGGCCTCCCAAAGTGCTGGGATTACAGACTTGAGCCACCGCACCCGGCCTACAGTGTATATATTTAAAACCCAAGAAACCATTATTTGTGCAGGTTTCTCATGGCCAAATTATTGCCTCTTCACATCTCAGAATTGTTCAGATGGAACTTTGCAATATATTTAACGTATTTTCTTAATTTAGGGTTAAATGAGGAAAAATCCATCCTGCACACAATGTGTTCTTATTAACTTCAAAAAGGGACAGGGAGGGGGAGGAAAATCAGACTTCAGGGAGCATTTCTGTTTGGTTAGCAAAGTCCCAGAAACCTAATGCAGATGACAGTACCATTATGTACCTTCTGTTACATGTCTCAAAAAGTGGAAGCTTCAGAAATTAATAAAGCAAGCATTAAAACATGCAAGCATATCACTGTCTAGCCAACAAAAATGCTGTACTTACGGAACTCCAAGACCAAGATATATTATTCTTCCTATGAAAGAACAAAAATAGGCTCATAATACAAATATTTCGGTAATGTAACCACTCTTGGCTGCTTTTTTTTTTTTTTTTTTTTTTTGGAATAAATGAATTTAGGTGGGTGCCCTAAATCAATAGGCAAGACAGTTAAAATAACTGAAACAGCTCCCCACTGGTTGGTCTGTAGCTGATTAATCTCCAGCCTTGGTAGGTCTGGGATAGGGTCTTGATTATTACCAGACACTGCTCCCCGAGACAAAACTGGGAGACCTGAGTGCAAAGACTTCCACAGTGTGTGTGTATGGAGGAGGAGAGGCTGCATTGTGTCCTCCTAACCTCACAAAACTAGACACAGACATGCACAGGATTATACTTGTGCCCTCTGCCTGCAGTGCCATCTCACTAAGCAAAGGATTCCAGGTATGTAGAGAAGGTCTAGGTCAGGAAAGATTGGACGCTACTGATCTAAAAGACATTGTTATCTAATTAATTATCTCACTTCTATCCCTTTTATATTTTTATATGCATTTTGTTTGCGTGTTTATTATTTCTTTTCATCGAAACGGTCTTGCTCTGTCGCCTAGGCTGGAGGGCAGTGGTGCGATTAGGATTCCCTGCAACCTCGACCTCTTGAGTAGCTGGGACCACAGGCACATGCTACCATGCCGAACTATTTTTTAATATCTGTAGAGACGAGGTGTCCTCATACCTCCAAGGCTGGTCTCAAACTCCTAGGCTCAAGCTATCCTCCTGTCTTGGCCTCCCAAAATGTTGGAATTACAGGCATCATCCACCATGCCTAACCTATATCCATTTTATGTTTAACTGTTTTTCATTGATTTCATCTATATAATAGTTGAAGGAGGGAACCTTTAGGATTTTTGCCTTATTATGTATCACAGAGTATGTATTTATATGGGGAAAATCATACACACACACACTATGAAAGCACCGTGGCAGCCTAAGGGTTAAGCACATACCACAGCCCCCTTCTGACACACCACCCATCTCACCACTGGACTCTGTCATCTTCGGTATTTTCTGCCCCCCTCCCCGGGGTGAAAACCCTGTGCTACACTCTGGGGTTTCACACACAGCTTTCTTTTCTATTGACTACATGATTTCCTTTCATACTAGAGGGAAAACCTATCCCCATGGGTGTTTCTCTGCTATGTTTTATTTGTGAAAACTCCAGTGGGTATTTGTTAAGGCTGTTAATATCTCTCTCTGAAGAAAAGAGAAACAGGGTTCACTTATTCCTGCATCCTCTCCTGCTCACAGTTGTATATGAGTTACTATAAAACACCAGAGCTCTTTTGCAAAACAAGCATTTTGTCTGAATTAGAAGCAGTTCTAATTTCAACTTAGTTTTTGAATAATGAAACCAATAAAACATAAATAAACCTACTGAGCTTTCAAACGGACTTAGGCTGCCATGCCAACTCATTTGTTCATTTACATCTAACCTAAGTTTCCCCAGAACCCGTCAGCCTACAGAGGCAATTTAATTTAATTTTTTTCTGGTTTGTAGCTCCCACTGATGTAGGACCTCTGACTTCCTGCCAGGTTCCTTGCATCTAATTCTGGAAATTGCCAGAGTGAGTCTCGCAGCCTCTACCAGGCATTTCTGTTACGTGGTTACCCGCACCCCACCTCCCACCCTCCCATCCATGCCTGGCCCAGCTGCTGTTTTATCTCTCCACTGGGCCCTGAAATCGCTGTGTGCAGCCAGGTTCAGCAAGTATCAGCAGGCATCACCCCCTTCTTTCAGAAACGCAACGGTTGCTTTGCTCTGCAGTGGGGCAAGATACCCCTTTCCCCTTATTAAACATTCTGTGGGAGAAAGCTGGCCCGCTCTACTCAAGAGCTAGACATGCATCTGGAAAGGCAGGGGATAGACTGGGGTAACAGCCGCTGCGCTGCAGCAGAATCTCTACTCCCTCCCCTGCAGGGGTCAAAGCTTTCCTCCAGTTGAGCTCATCAGACCTATTACCTTCTTCCCCATGGATGAATGCCCCTTCTGGAGCATCCTCAACCCCATTGTAAATAGACCTGTGGCCACCACACCAGCTTTCCTGACTGGCTCAGACATATCTGAGCCCAGCAGAAGTGAGTTCTTTTTTTAGAAGCCCTAGATCTCCCTAAGGCTCCCTATTACCTGCCCCACCACAGGTGTGGATGTCCCTGAGACTCACTTAAATTTAACCCAGGCACCATGCCAGTATGTAAAGAAATAATGAAGTACAAAAATACTTAGCACAAGTCCTTGCCTTTTCAGTGAAAATCAGCTTTTTGAATGGAAAGATCAAATTGCAGAAAATCACAGTAATTGCGTGGATTTTCTCCACTTCTGATTCATAGCTATCACATGTGCCCATTTTCTCTTCCTGGGAAGTGCAGACTAGAGTTCCCTCTTAGGTTAACAGAGCACTGTGCTTTCCTACTTCATGAGACTTGTGACCCCTGTAAATGCATACTCAATCATTTGTGTACTGTCTATTCAACATCTGTCTTCTTCAATAGATCACAAGCTCTGTAGGACTGGAATCAAGTTTGCCTGTTCCCTCTTGAAATTGCAGGCCCCTGTAGAAGACTAAGTATTTGTTGAAAGAATAAATACATTTTCGTGTATGGTTGTAGGCATATGATAGATCTCTATCTTCTCCACATGTCTGTGTGTTTATTGTGTATGTCTGCATGAGTGTCTGTGTGTGCTGACAAAGTCCTTGTGCTTTCTTCCTTGTATACTTTTAAACAGGCAGAACTGTTTTGAGCCATTGGATTATGACTAATTGCTTATTCCACTGGAATTTTACAATCTTCTGTAATATCGTGACTGTGATGAGCAAAAGTTCTTGTCTAAAGCTTTAGAACACAGACTCTGGAGTTTAACTGCCATCTGCTTGGGGATTGTTATTTGCCCACTCTGTGCCTCAGTTTACTCATCTATGCAATAATAACGGTACCTACTGCAGGCCTGTCATGGTGGTTCCTGCCTGTAATCCCTGCACTTTGGGAGGCTGAGGTGGGTGGATCACCTAAAGTCAGGAGTTTGAGACCAGACTGGTTTTCACAAGGTGAAAACCCATCTCTACTAAAAATGCAAGTTATCCGGGCATGATGTTGGGTGCCTATAATCCCAGCTACTTGGGAGGCTGAGGCAAGAGAATCACTTGAACCCAGGGGGCGGGGGTTGCAGTGAACTGAGATCATGTCACTGCACTCCTGCCTGGGCGATAAGAGCAAGACTCCATCTCAAATAAATAAATAAATAAATAGTACCTACTGTACAGAGTTACTATGAGGATTAAATTAGATGATAGTTTTACGACCCTTAGTATATCTCTTAATACATTTTGTGCTGCTATAACAGAACATCTAATACTGGATAGTTTATAAAGAATGGAGATTTACTTCCTATAGTTCTGGAGGCTGGGAATTCCAAGGTCAAGGGGCCTGCATCTGGTGAGGGCTTCTTGCTGCATCATCCCATAATGGAAGGTGGAAAGGTGAGAGAGAGA